TGCGAGTCCGGCAAGCCTCAAACCCCTATCGGGCGCGCCATTCTATCCTTTTGCACGTGTCCTCATGGCCAAGCCGATTCGTTGTCCGATCCGCATCCATCCACACACACGCGCACTCCCATTCTCTCTTTCTCTCTCTCTCTCTCTTCCTCTCTCTCTCTCGCTCTCTCTCTCTCTCTTTCTCTCTCTCTCTCTGGCTCTGTCCATCTCTCTGTCCCTCTCCATCTCCCTCTCTCTCTCTCTCTTCATTTACCTCTCCCAAAACATACAGATATACATATACATATGTACACATAGATATGCACATGCCAGAAACAAGCAAGCATTGCGTGTACATATATACAGAGAGAGATTATAGCTGCGCTAATGCAATGAATACCCATATACCAAGAAGACTGGTCTGACTTGATTTCTGGCACGCCGGCCGGGCTGTTCCCGGAGCGCCCCAGGAGGACCCCGAACAGCTCCACATGGCTCCCAGACGGCCACAAGACGGTCCAAGAGGGCTCCAAGAGGACTTTCAGAAGGTCCAAGACGGCCCTGAGTAGCCGAACGATCGGTCCCTGCTGCTCCAAATAGCCTCCAGTCTGGCGCTCCAGATGGCCCCCAGACGGCCCAAGAGGCCCCCAAAACGCCCCAAGAGGCCTCCGAGAGTCCTCACAAGAGCGCTCCAAGAGGCAAAATCGTCTCATTCCCTGTGGGGTATCATCGGTTGTAGCATATGCGACCATTCGGCCTTCATCGCGTCCAAGACGGCCCAAGAGGCCTCCAAAATCATCTTAAGACGACCCAAGAGGCCTCCAAGAGGGCCCTGAGACGGCCGAAGAGGGGCCCAAGACGGCCCAAGAAGCACCAAAGACGGCCCCAAAGGGCCCTCGAAGAGCACCCGAAGGGGTCCAAGAAGGGGGAACTCGAAGTAATATTTCGAGCCCTCCGCCCCAAGAGGGCCCCCGAGACCGCAAGGAGGCCCCAAGAGGCCCCAGGAGGCCCCAAGGGGCCCGAGGGCCAAAAGGGGTCAAAAAGGCCCCCAAACGACCTCAAAGAGGCTCCAAGAGACCTCCTGACAGGACCCAGAAACTTTGACCTCGAAAGACACACACACGCGCGCGCACACACACGCACACACACACACACAGACACACACACACACAGCCACACGCGGCGCGCGCGCGCGACCGCGCGCCATACCCGCCCCAACCCAATCATAGACCGAACCGAAAAGCCAATTAGTACGGCGACGTCCGGACAGTCAATACATATATATATATATATATATATATGTATATGTATACACAGACAGACACATATCGTGCTCCCCTTGCCGGAACAAGTGTAACCATCCGTGCCCCGCTACATCCGCTCAGTTAGGACATCAACCATCGGGCAAGTGCTTCTCATTTCTCCTCCCAAACAACCATCAACACACAACCATCAGCACGCGCTCTTCATTACAACCTGTGGAGGCGACCCGCTCAATGAAGACCACGAGCCACTCACTTCAAACTCAGTTCAAGAACCTCTTACAGGTCGACGCACCACGCACGTTCACTCACCGAACACACACACAAAGCTACACATACACGCACAATGCCACAATCAACCCTCCCATCCATCCATCAGATAGTCAGCATACAGCGTACCCAAGCTTTGCGCACGACCGCGGCTAAGCGTGCACCAAAATCGCACAACAACAGTGCGTGAGCATGCGATGACCAAGGTTGCAACTGACAGTGCTCTCATCTGCACACGGCACGGTTTTTGATTGCGCATGGCAAGTTAACCTTCAAGCGCACACTCTACGTCACCAGTGTAATATACGCATCGCATGGCCATCGCCATTGCTCAAATGAGATTACCTTTGTGAGTTCGTTCTAATTCCCCATCTCTCTCTCTCTCTCTCTCTCTCTCTGGACTGGCTGCTCGTCCTGGGAGCAAAATGTGCAACAGTCAGAATGCCTTGTTCTGCGATTGATTGAATGTGCGTTTGCTTGTGCGCTTGCTCACATGCTTGCATGGCTGCTTGCCTGCTTGCGTGACTGACTCATTGCACAGTTGATTGCGAGCCTGCATGGTTGCGCGATAGCGTGGGTGCGTGCTCGCGTACATGATTGGCCACAGTGCCCGTTTTGCTTAGCCGTTGTACATTCACCCATGCATGGTTGCTTGACTTCGAGCGTGGTTGCTGTGTCGAATGAAAGTTGGACTGTGCCATTCATTGCATGCATGGGGATACTTCCATCACTTCGTGGTGGCTTGTCTTTGCACAGGCTTCACCATTAAATTTCTGAATTGGTCGCGCGCGTTGGTGTTCGATTTGGTGGCGGGTTGCCCGATGGCTTGCTCGCGTGCAAAGTTAACCGCTGGCACGCGAGCAAGCGCTGGTGCTGCCACGCTCGAGCACGCGCACGCATCCGTGATCGCGCCGCTTCTCTTGCTCTTGCTTGCCTGCACGCATGTCTCCATCCATACGCAAACTGCTTGATGGCGCACGTGCTCACCCAGGTGCTTGTTCGTTTGCTTTGGCGCGTGCTCGCTTACGCGATTGACTGCTGGCCTGGGCAAGGTAATGCTTGATTGCTCCTGGCGACGAGGGGCCTTGGCCCTTCGGCTGGCTGGCCGATTACCGTCCGTGCACCCTGCAGTGGTAAGTTACAATTCAACTGTTCCCGCTAGGGAACCTATATGTGCAAGTCAAGCATGCTTGGTCGCAGAGCCGCGGGCCAAGGCCGCGCTAACGGCGATGTCGGCCAACTGCGATGATGGGAACATGGTTTTTGTGACACCGAGCTCACGCAGAACAATTTGTAGGATATCGCGAAGCGCACTTTTCTACATTTCGAATATGCGAGAGCATCGAGCGAAAACGACGCAGGGAATTGTAGGAAAACACGAACCACCATGTCCTACAATTGGCTTGGCCACGAACCAGTCCCACCTACAATGCCGAAACCGACATCGCCGTTACCTACATTGCTGTTAGCGCGTCTACGGGCGGGGCTCGACGCGGCCAGGCTACAGCGGGCTGCGTAATAGCAAAATGCGCACGGGAAGTGGCTCGAGGAAGAGGAGGGAGGAAGGAGGAGGAGGCTTCAGTTCGATCACGCCCATTAGAAGGCTTTATGCATGCGCGCTGAAATTACAGGTCTGGAACTTGTGCTGGGAATGGCTCGGGACGTTGACGCTCGGGAGCTGGCACGTGGCTCGCGTGTCGCGCCGAGAGATGACCGGCCAACCAGCGGCGCGACATGCTAAGCAAAGTCCTTGATAGAAAAGGTGAGGTGAAGACTCGTGCGCCTTTCGAGCACCTTTTGGGCCTGCGGTTGCAGTTCGGGGGCCACCGCCTGGGGCCCCTCTCCTGCCGTCCTCGATCTCCTCGCGCGTATGGCCCCCCCGCTGCCGTCCCCGCCCGAGAATGATGGCTGGGGCATTGAGTGGTTGGGGAGGTGTGCAAAACCAGCTGGAAACGTAGAGCTCGGCCCCGCACGCGCGGGCTTCTCGCCGAGGGCGGGAACGCCCCCGTCCCAGGGCCCAAGACTCGGTCGAGGTCTGCGCGCTCTGCCCCCCCTCTCTCGAAGCGGCGGCCCCGGCTCCCGAAGGTGACGGAGCTCGGCCAGACGTCCTGCCTGCCTCCTCGACGAGCGGCAACGAACGTTGGGTGTTGCAGACGTGCCCCTGGCCCAAGGCGCCCCCAGACTTCCCAGGGAGGCCCCGACGGCCTGCAGAGAACCCCATGACGAGGACCACAGGGTCCCAGGACCAGAGGGCCCCAGGGTCCCTGGGGGCACCTTGGGCCAGGAGTGCAGTTAGCAGCGGGCGCCCGCGCTCGCCCACGCGAGCGCTCGACCCCGCCAGAGGCTCAGTCTGGAACCTCTTCGGGAACTGCTCAGTGCGCTGCGCTGCGTGCACCATTTCCCAGTAACGTTTCGCTACAGGTGGCAGTGGACACAAAAAACATCGAAAAGTCCCAGGGAGGACGAGAAACCCCAAAAAGCCGAATTCCCCTTCGATCCAGCAGCCGTTTCGCCTGAGATTTCTTCATCATTCCCCGAATAGCGCTCCCCGAATAGCGCTTGCACTTAGGATTTCTTCCATTTCTTCTAAGGAACTGGGCCTGGCTGACAATCTAACGACTCCGTGCTCGCCGTCGCCGCCCCGTCGCCGCCTCGTCGCCGCCCGTCGTTTGGGCCTGGCTGGCGATCTGACGGTTCCGTGCTCGCCGTCGCCGCCCCGTCGCAGCCTCGTCGCGGCCCGTCGTCTGGGCATGGCTGGCGGTCTGGCGGTTCCGTGCTCGCCGTCGCGCCGCCTCTGCGCCGCCCCGTCGCCGCCTAGATTGCACAACATAGGTTCCCCCTTCTTAAAATCTAATCAGATCTACCTCCCCCCGGACTAAACAGCACCCCTGTTCGCAATGCAATGTTTCATACGGATATGTCCCATCGTCCATCATAATTACAAATCCATGTCATCCCAGCCAAACCAATATCGCCCCCCCCCGTCTTCTTTTTTTGTCGGGAAAAAACTATGAGCGCACCCGTTGATAGAAACAACAGCAATGTTCACAAATCCCTTGCAGAACACGGGACGAAGTGCGCACGCGCGCGTCGTCGCGAGTGCATGCCAAAATCCTTCGAAACCCGTAAGATTCGTAACGATGTCGAAATCGAGTGCCCCGAAAACACATTAACCGCATGGCTTCGCAACCATAACTTTCAACACAAAACCTGCGCCCGCGCCCTTGCGAATTCTGGAGCAAACCAAAGGATTGTTGTTTCAACATGTTCATAACATGCTACCAAGCGGGCCCCTCGCGCGCGCATGTCGATATCGTTCGAGCGCCATTGCGCGCGTGCTGATGCAAGAACCCCTTGCAAAGAAAACGGGGCGAAATACAACCGCGCGCGTCGTCGAGCGCGCATGCTGAAATCCATCAACAACCTGAGGTCGCGTAGGGGTGTCCAAATTGAGTGCCCCCCAGCACATATAGAAAACACATGGTTGTGCAAAATCTGTGTTCAAAAAAAGAAAAAGAAATAACAAACACATGCCCCTCGGCCTTGCGAGTTATGAAGGAAAGCATCGGTGCTCGAAAGTTCCAACAAAATATGCCAGAAGGGCGTCTCGCGCCGCATGTCGAAATCATTCGAACGCCCATGCGCGAGTGCGGAGAAGGGGCCCGATCCGTGCATCATGCCCAAAGGGCGTCTCGCGCAGCATGTCGAAATCATTCGAACGCCCCTGCGCGAGTGCGGAGAGGGGCCCGATCCGTGTCAAATGATGCCATGCGGGCCACTTTCCGCGCAAACTTCTTCACCGACGCGGGAACGCCGTCATCGTCGTCGGCGTGATCAGCATCTGCACCGTCACTGGCAGTGCCGTCGTCGTTGTCATCATCGCCACCAACAACGTTATTCTCAATATCGCGTCTACCGTTGACGACGTTTCTATGATACCGCGCCCGTCCAAGTCTCCGACTCGCACTGAAATGCCCGCTGGGAAGTGCCCAGCGGTCAGCGCTACCGCAGCCGCGTCGGTCGCGCAAAGCTGCGCGCGAGCATGCGCGCCAGCGCGGCCGCAGCGATGCGCCAGCCAGCGCCGAGCAGTCATCGCAATCGCAACCGCATGGGTTTTGCAAATCGGGTGGGTGGGATGATTGCGCGGGCAGTGGAGTTGACAATTTCAAGCTCGGCAGGGCGAAATGCACCGCACACATTGCACCGCATCAATTGCACCGCATACATTGCACCACATACATTGCACAACACAGATTGCACCACACTGGGTGCACCGCATAGATTGCACCGCATAAATTGTACCACCTGTATTGCACCACATAGCCTGCGCCGCATAGGTTGCACAAACTACACTATACAACACATGGTGCGTAGCATAGATTGCACCACGTAGATTGCGCCACATGGCTTGGACATTGCACACTACGTATTGCACAACACAGAATGCACCACGTCGATTGCACCACATCGATTGCTCCACCTAGATTGCACAACATATACAGCCAGAAACACACTGCTTGGGGCCCACGCTGGCCAACATATACCCTGAAGTCGTGCCCAGGTTGGCTCTGGACGGCCAAGACCCTAGGAAAAAAAAAAAAAAAAAAAAAAAAAAAAAAAAAAAAAAAAAAAAAAAAAAAAAAAAAAAAAAAAAAAAAAAAAAAAAAAAAAAAACGCTGCGTTGCACACGACCGTGCGCTTCCCAGGAAGCCATGAGACTACCCAGGAGAGCACGCTTCCCCTGGCCGACCTCCTGCTCCTCGACCCGCCTCTTCGCCCTTGCTGCTCTCCGGATGCCTTGCTGGGGCCACTTCCCGCAAGGCCCCTGGCGCGCCTTCAGCACCTTCTGCAGCTCGGGCTTCCGGGAACTGGCGGGCCGGTGGGGCGAGTACGGCAGGACGATGCGCTTGAACACCTGGGGGCGGGCGGCCTGCCCCAGGCGGCGGCTCCTCCTCCTCCTCCTTCGGCTTCTTCTCCTCCCGTTCCTCCTCCTCCTCCTCCTCCTCCTCCTCCTCCTCCTCCTCCTCCTCCTCCTCCTCCTCCCCCCTCCTCTCCTCCTCCTCCTCCTCCCTCCTCCCTCCTCCCTCCTCCTCCTCCATTTCCTCATCATCATCATCATCATCATCATCATCATCATCATCATCATCATCATCATCATCATCATCATCATCATTATACTCATTCCCCTCATCATCATAACTGTCACCATCACCATCACAATCACCATCACCATAATCATCGTCGTCGTCATCGTCATCGTCATCGTGCTCGTCACCATACTCAACAGCAGCAGCAGCAGCATCAGCATCAGCATCATCCTCATCCTCATCCTCTTCATCATTATCATGCTCCTCATCATCACAACCGTCACCATCACCATCACCATGACCATGATCATCATCATTATCACCATCATCATCATCATCATCATCATCATCGTCGTCATCAGCATCATCATCGGCGTCGTCCTCATAATCATTAGCATCGTCCTCATAATCATCATCGCCATCATCATCATCATCATCATCATCAGCAGCATCACCTCATCATATTCACTTTATCATGGTGACCATCAGCATCGCCACAACCATCGTCACCATCATAATCAGCATCCGCAGCATCACCATCATCATCGTCGCCATCATCATCATCATCATCATCATCAGCAGCAGCAGCAGCAGCTTCCGCATCAGCATCAGCATCAGCATCACCATCATCGTTATCATCACCATCATCACCCTCATCACCTGATGATGATGATGATCATCATCAACATCGTCGTCTTCCTCATCCTCATCATCATGCTCATCATCATCACCATAATTATAGTCGTCGTCATCGTCATCGGCATCGTCATCATCAGACTCATCAGCAGCAGCATCAGCATCGGCATCGTCCTCATCCTCATCATCATCAGCAGCATCGCCATCATAAGCATAATCAGCATCACCATCCTCATCCTCATCCTCATCATCATCATCAGCATCATCATCATCATCCGCATCCTCATCTCCATCATCACCATCATCAACATTATCATCAACATAATCACCACAACCATCATCCTCATCATCAACATCATCATCCTCGTTCTCCTCCCCCTCCCCATACGTATCCCATCCTCCATGGCTCCTCTTCCCCATATCCGCTCCTGCCGCGTCTTCCGCGCATTCCCCGCGCACCACACACCCCTGCAAATCCTCCCGTCATCATCCCTGGCTCCATTTCCATAGACTGCGCTGCTGCCGCCTGTTCCGCTTACCCACCCTACCCCGCATGGCCCCGCCTGTGCAGCAAACCATGTCGTGCCAAGCTTGGTCTGCGCTGTCTGGCCCCATCCTCGCTCGTACTCGTTCTCCCTCTCCCCTCCCGCAGGCGCGCGCGGCGTGGGGAGAAGGGAGGAGGAGGAAGAGACTTAAAGCGATGAGCTGCAAAGAGCTTGGCCGACCCGGCCCACACTCGATACCCCAGCAGAGCTCCAAACTTCCAGAACCAGCACGCTGGAACGGAAGACGCAATGCGCCTCCTCTGATGTGGACAAGGGCAAGGCCAAACGAGGACGAGCGACAGTACCCCATGACATGTCCACGCCAACCACCCTACAGCGCGAGCGCGCGCCAGTGAGAGGCTCTGCAGTCCGCTGACCCCCGCTTGCCAGGGGTGCATAGGCAAGTGAGATGAGTGGCTGTCCCCCTTCTCCTTTCCCATTCCCCTGGGGTCTGAAATTCGATGAGAAGGGGAGCGGACAGGGGGAGGGTCCAGGCTCCTAAACGCTCCCCCAGGGGCCTCCAGAGCCCCCATTTCTACACTGTGGCCTCCAAGATGTTCAAGAGTCCATCTAAGCTTGCTCAAGCTGGGCTCCAACACGCCAATGAGGCCTCAAAGAAATTCCAAGATAGCCACAGGACGGCCCAAGAAGCCTTCGATACGCCCCCAGACAGCTCCAAGAGGACCCCGAACAGGGCCCCAAGAGGCCAGCATCGTCCCGATTCAGAAGAAAAACGTACCTGATTTGCAGATTAATCCTTTTGGTTTCAACAGCGTCTAAAGCGCACAGGAGGCTCCTGAGAGCCCCTGAAAGGGCCCCAAGACGGCCCAAGAAAGGGCCAAGACGGCCCAAGAGGCGCCCATTACCGCCCAAGCGGGCCGCAAAAGAGCCGCGAGAGAGGCCCGAGAATGGGAACTCGAACTGCCATTTCGAGCCCTCCGTCCCAAGAGGACCCGCTAGACCGCCAGCAGGCGCCCAAGAGAACCCCAAGAGGCTCCAACAGGCCCCCAAGAGGCCCAAAAGATGCCGCAATAGGCCTCTCAAGCGGTTTCCAAGATGCCAAAGGCCTCACCCGTGGGCTTCGCTTCTCCCCTGGGGGTCGACTGATTGGCAGCAGCCACTTGAAGAAACGGTGGCCCGACCTCATGGAAGTGCAGGCCACACCGTGCAAGTGGTGGTGGGCAAGGCGAGACATCGACTGCAAAACAAACATCATCTGGAGTCGTGTCGTACTCACTGGGATCCACAAGACAAAGATGCATCAGCAATCACACACAGGAGCGAGCGAACGACAGAGTCACGCACAAAGCCCACCGCGCATTCCTACAGGCCGGCGGACGAGGAGAAAGGGAGGAGGAAGAGGATCAAGATGAAGAGGAGCGGTCACCACCGAACACACATGTGTTTCTTAATGGGCGGCTGGAGCTGAACGCTGAACTCTCACTTTCTGTGCGCCCAGTGCGAGCAGGGAGAAAGAAGGGAGGAGGACCTCCTGTTTCCTCCTCTTCCTCCTCCTCCTCCTCCTCCTCCTCCTACTCCTCCGCCTCCTCCTGATCCTTCTTCTCCTCCTGCCTCCCTCCTCCTCCTCCTCCCTCCTGCTCCTCCCTCTCCTCTTCCGTCTCCTCCTCGTCCTCCTCCTCCTCCTCCTCCTCCTCACTCCTCCTGCTCACTCCTCCTCCTCATTCCTCCTCACTCCTCCTTTTCCCCCCTCGCCCCTTGTCCTTATAAGTAACTCACCCCGCCCCCCCCCCCCCCCCGAAAAAAACATGTCCGTAGGGCGGGCCAGGCGGTTCGGCTGAGACTTCCCCACCACTCACGACACTGAAGCTTGCAATTCGCAACAGTCATACGCATGGAGGGAGGCTGTTTTGAAACATGTGGCCCTCGCCTCAGTGACGCGCACATTCATCCTAAAATGTTGCAACAGCTTCAAGGATGGAGTACAGGTCGCATTCATTATGTGGGTCTCGCCTTTGCGCCGCGCACAGTTGCCTTGAAATTCCGCAACAGCTTCAAGGATGGAGGGATTCCTGCCAAATTGCGGCTCTCCTCACAACAGCGCTGGGCACATCCGTAAAAGCATGCAACAGCTTCAAGGATGGAGGGCGGTCGATTTCGCAGTGCGGCTTAGCGCCACGCAGATTCGTCTTACAAGCTTGCAGCGTCTACAAGATAGGGAGACGGCTCCTTTCCAAAATTGTGCCGTCTCGCCTGTGACTTC